CACAAGTACGTTTAGAGAATCTAGTACTCATTAGTGAATGGATTGACCTCGTATATTATTATTATAATTGCCAACACAAAAAAGATCCCATTTGGAAGCCTAATAAACTAATGTTTTGACGACCAAAACAATTAGTGATTTTTTTATGTTATTCATTTCTAACATAGTAAGCAAATTATTTTATCAGTACTTTCTAATACTTTTATTTCTCTTTTTTAAATAGGATCTACTCTCAATGTCGCTAGAGACAAACCCAGAAGCAGCTCCATATATTGTTCTTCAAAACTTCAAACTCAAGGTAATAACATTAAAGTCTAAATTCATTTAATTTTCGGTGTAAAAAGCTTAACACGACCTGGTTTGTGTTTATGTGTAGAATACATTAATTCTCAGGAAGTTGAACATGATCTGCCTCTAATACAGTGGCAACAGCTCCAAGAAAAAGATGCTCCTCAGGTGATTAGTTAAAATAAACTCTCTCTCTTTTAAAAGGCAAATGTATGTTAAAATTTTGTTCACTTATAATGACAAAAAATCAACATTTATACTTGATATTTTCTAAAAATTTCCTTCTTTCTTTTTACCTTGATTTGTACGTTTTCCCCTGGAATCTATACTTTATATTCCATCAAAAGATAGTTATTATTTTTACACCGAAAGGTACCAAAACTTTAAGCATACACATAAAATATATATATCATGGTTTTATGTAATTCATTTTTCATAATTATATGTGCTGATCATATTTTTATGCATTTGACTTATATAGATTAGTACTGGAAGTGATGAAAATGCAATCGAAGACGCAGTGAAGAATGTGAAATCTATTTTGAGAAACATAAGTGACGGTGAAATTACTATCTCGGCTTATGATACAGCTTGGGTTGCATTAATCGACGCCGGAGATAAAACTCCGMCGTTTCCCTCCGCCGTGAAATGGATCGCCGAGAACCAACTCTCCGACGGATCTTGGGGCGATGCTTATCTCTTCTCTTATCATGATCGCCTCATCAACACACTTGCATGCGTAGTTGCTCTAAGATCATGGAATCTCTTTCCTCATCAATGCCAAAAAGGTAATTTTTTTTTGTTTTTTTCGTTTTGGAAACGGAGATTTTTTGGAGACAAAACATTTTAAAAGGCAAAAAATCTTAACTTTCTTACAAGAAATCCAAACCTTTTTTTTGTAGTGGGCTAGAAAGAAAGTATGTGTTGTTTAAATAGTTATAAGTTAGAAACATCAATCTTCTTTTGTAAAGTTTGAATATTTTTGTCTCTATAATCACTCAAATATTAGATTATAAATTTTAGTAGTTATTCATACCCAAATCATTTAACATGTTTTATTGTATATTATTTTTAATATACATTATCAATGGCTAGTCTAGGAATCACGTTTTTCCGAGAAAATATCGGAAAGCTAGAAGAAGAAGATGATGAACATATGCCAATTGGATTTGAAGTAGCATTTCCTTCGTTACTTGAGATAGCTCGAGGAATTCACATCGATGTACCGTACGATTCTCCGGTCTTGAAAAATATATACGCCAAAAAAGAGCTAAAGCTAACAAGGTTTGTGTGTTGGGCCAAAAATATGCAAATTGAATATTCTATTGTTACACAAATAAATATATTCGAAAGTGGATACATATGGGGTCCAATGTACTTCACTCAAAGCCAAAACAAGAGTTATACGATAATATATTTGCGTACGTGATATATATGTAAATTAAGATGTTATTTAATGGGCGTACGTGTGATATCTTTTTATAGGATACCAAAAGAGATAATGCACAAGGTACCAACAACATTGTTGCATAGTTTGGAGGGTATGCGTGATTTAGATTGGGAAAAGCTCTTGAAACTCCAATGTAAAGACGGATCTTTCCTCTACTCTCCTTCATCTACCGCTTTCGCGTTCATGCAAACCCGAGACAATAATTGTCTCGGGTATCTGCGCAATACCGTCAGACGTTTCAACGGAGGAGGTTTGTTAGCTAGTAACCTCTTGTCACTCATCTATCATAACATCTACCTTTTTTGTTCACTACTTATTGTCAAAATTTTTTTCTTCAGTTCCGAATGTGTTCCCCGTCGATCTTTTCGAACACATATGGATCGTGGATCGGCTCCAACGGTTAGGGATATCGAGATTCTTTGGAGAAGAGATTAAAGAGTGTCTTGACTATGTTCACAGGTTTTAATAACATTACATTTATTCTCATTTGTATACCAAAGTAGTTTTACTCTAATAATGACAAAAAAAAAATCAGGTATTGGACAGAGAAAGGCATATGTTGGGCTAGATGTTCCCATGTCCAAGATATCGATGACACAGCCATGGCATTTAGGCTCTTAAGACTTCATGGATACCAAGTATCCGCCGGTAATTAAAAATTCATCTTTCTATAGTAAATGTATTCTTACATTTAACAGAAAAATTATGTGAAATTTTAACAATTATTTGTAATTTTAGATGTATTCAAGAACTTTGAGAAAGAAGGAGAGTTTTTCTGCTTTGCGGGTCAATCAAACCAAGCGGTGACCGGTATGTTCAATCTATACCGGGCATCGCAATTGGCGTTTCCAAAGGAAGAGATACTGAAAAACGCCAAAGAGTTTTCTTCAAAGTATTTGCAACAGAAACAAGAGAGAGACGAATTGCTTGATAAGTGGATCATAATGAAAGACTTACCCGGCGAGGTAAGTTACATGTAAATATAAAAACAAATTTACTAATGGTTCCAAAAACAAATTACATTTTAAACACATAGCCACTGCATATGCCGTAATGGGGTCGGCTGATGGACAAGGAAAACGACAAAGCATGTTTGGCTTTTTCTTCGTTTATTAAAACGAAGTTATACTAGTCTTTTCACCTATAATTAATTATCTAACATCATATAAAACATAACGTAGTAACTAGCATTTAGATTAGACTAAATTCCAGTTTTGCCCTCATAAAATTAATATATATTTTTACAATTTAAAAAATAAAAATAAAAACTTTCTTTTTATCCAAAACTTTCCTTTACAGAATTTTCATAACATAGCTAATTATTGTCTATTAGCAAGAGATTGTTACGTGTTACATAACTAACTATATTTTACACAGCAACCATGACATAGCTAACTACACTATCTATTAACAATGGATAGTTAGCTATATGTGTTTTATAGTTAACTATATTTACAAAATACTCATGATATAATTAACTATACAAGAGGTAGTTAGATAAATGTGTGAAATACTTAATTATATACGTATAATATTCATGACATAGCTAACTATACTGTCTACAGACACAATAACCACATTTGAACAACTCTAGGTTTGAAATCCCAAACACCAGTCTCCAAAACAGCCCATTTACCCAACATCATAACAACCATAATCTTTTCTGCCATCTGAAACAAATAGTTAACTACGGTATAAGAATTATAGCTAACTATAACAACATAAAATGAAATCGAATATAGTCAACTATACATATTTCTCCTCCTTTTTCGAGATCCACCGCTAACATTTTCCATATTCTCTATCACTGATTTTTATGGATCTTAGTTACCAGCAATAATTACTAAATTTTATAGGGACAAAATTGTTCAAGTATTTTTTCTCTATGCTATTCACGTACATTTGTTTATGGACATGTTAGTTTCTTAATTCCTTGTTCAAAATATAATGTTGAGCTAATTAATCTTTTATCAACTCTTTTTTTTTCAA